TAGTATCAAATGTGCCATACTTTATTATTTTACTCTGTCTAATGCCAGATTATTTTACTCGTCAGGGAAAGAGTGCTGCGACTTAATGGGTTAATCAGACTGTCTGCCCATGCACCCTGTTAACCCTTTAAGTGGCAATGCGCAAAGATGTGCCAAACTTTATTATTTTAATCTGTCTAACGCCAGATTCTTTTACTCTGTCTAACACCAGATAATTTTACTTGTCAGGGGGAGAGTGCTGCCACTCAGTGGGTCAAGTTTAATAAAATAAACTTTGGAACTTCACGTTTTGCATGACAACTTGAAATCTTGAATATGAATGTGGCCTCTTACAAGTGAATTGTAGAATCATTGCCAATAATTAATAAAAAATTATATAAGTGTATTTAGTTTCATTTCAGAATCATCCTCAGAGATATGAAAAACTAGTTTCATATTATTCTATATGAAACTAGCGTATTTAGTAGTTATGCACCTATCAATGTTAATTAGTACAAATGCCAATGTCACAATGGGTAATGCAATCCGATCCGGACGTTAACCCCAGGGGGGGGGGGGCATATGTGGGGTATTTGATCATCAATTGCATTCCGACCCTGGGGATTGTGATTAGCATAATTTTTTGGCCCCGAGTTGGGGCAATTTGAACTGCATGACTTTTATTAATATAGTATTTATTGCAATCTATTGCAAAATGGTGGGGCAATTGACCAATATGTATTGCCCGACGGTGGGGCATTTGATTGAAAACTTGCTCAAAAAATCAAATGCCCCACCTATGCCTGCCCCCCCCCCCTTCTACATTGATAGGTGCATAAATAAATGAACCAATAAATGGATATTATACCTGGTATTTGACGTAGAGAAGGAAGTATCACTTGCCCCACTTGCCGCTATTTTGGCGCGAGCATCCGTGACACGAGTTTGTTTTTCCCTTTGTTCATCACTTGGTACGGCACCAGCAATGATTGACTTTCGTTTTGAAGCAAGATTGATTTTTCGCTTGCACGAGTAGCAATAAGATACTTGTTTTCCATAAGTCCATCCATCCGTATCTTCGTCGACTTCAGGAGAACCACAAACGTTACAAATTGGTTTTTTACATTTAATACAAGCATATTTTGTGTCACAAAAACATACAGAGCATGCCTTCACTTCGTTCGCCATTTTTTAACACCGTAGTGTGTTATGGGAAAAATTAACCATTTTAATTATGTTATTATTTATGCATTTAATTCGGCACATGTAAAGTTCGCCGTCTGAATCAGTTGCCGCACCAAAGTCGCATAATGCGGCAAGACATGTCGAATTTAATTTTTTTGCCGCACCAAATTAAGCTGCCGAACTTAATTTGATTCAGACGCCGTGCTTTTGCCGTATCTAATTCTTGAATTGAATTCGGCACATGTGAAGTACGGCGTATGAAACGGGCCTTATTTTAAGAAATATCTCTTGATTTTCTTAAGAAAAAAATTCTTAAGAAAATTAGTAAGAAAATTTTCTTACCAGTCTCCCAAGAAAATTTGGACTTATTTTAAGAAAATTTTCTTAAAATAAGAAATTTTAAAGGAAAAAATATTCTTAAAATAAGAAATTGGTATTCTTATTTTAAGAAAAATCTTATGATTTTCTTAAGAAAAAAATTCTTAAGAAAATTAGTAAGCAAATTTTCTTACCAGTCTCCCAAGAAAATTTGGACTTATTTTAAGAAAATTTTCTTAAAATAAGTTGTTTTTTTCTTAAAATAAGAAAGTGATTTTTTCCTGTGTACTGGTTAATTTGCTTTCTTAAATCATTGCTAAAGAGCACAAGTTTAATAAGTTTAACATATTTCAAAACTGGTGTAAAAGCTATTATAATAGAGCTGTAAAATCAAAAACCTCACTAGCGGTTTGACGTTTGCCGTAAACGTCAATCTAAAGGTCTCTATTAGAGAAGTTAAGATACCCCGGTTTCGGTGTACGGGTACGAGTAGTCAGGGCTGGAAAAAATATTTTATTTTCTGGGACCGCAACAAAAAGTGGAAAATTTTCTGCGAGTTGTCGACACAAATCCTGTATAATTTAAATTAATTAAAGGCTCACTTGCAAAGAGGGCTAATAAGATATAAGAATTGTTAAATAACCATAGTACCATATAAACGCTGTGGAAAGGATTTAATTGAAATAAACAAGTGAGAAAGACTGTGAATTTGTGAAAACTGGAAGAGGTTTTTAAACTGTATTAATATTTGCATCATAATTAGTAGTCTGAAAACAAACATGATTTGGAAGCTGGACAAAAGGTATTGTAAGTTCTATGTTTTTGTTTGCCTTTATGGAAATTTGTGCACTTTCACAGTGAGTGAACATTTTGTTCTGTATAATAAGCAATTGCCCAATGGAAACCTCAGACTTCAAACGTACGATTTTAATATTGATCAACAAATTGTCAATTGTGTACTTTCAGGTACATTTCAAGCTTTCAACATCAATTGAAGTTTGGTTAGGAAACTACTTGAAGTTTACCAAGCGCATAGAACAGTAATGTTTTACTAAGTGCATAGACCATGCAGTAATGTATATGCGCTATAGAAATTTTATTATTATTATTATTATGTGTATTTTCTATTAACCTATGATTGCGTTTAGTTATTCTTTATATAATATAATCACTGGCAGACACTTTGTAAAATATTGGGTACCAGGGGGGGATAAATGTCCATCTTTTGTTTATTCTGTGAGAAGACAGAGTATGCAAGGTCTGCCAGTCAGGAGAAGTTGAAATGGAACATCACTTCCTAACTTCCTATGAAACCTATAGTAGTCTTCATGAATACTTTTTAAATTACTTGGAATGTCATCCCACCAGTGAAGCAGATATATTAAACGAACACAGTTTACCAGTTGAGATAATGAAATCAACTGATAATGAAACCGTGATAAAATTATATTCATGCTTACAATTGCGTACAAACCAACTGTGCGAGAGTGGTTAATTTTTATTAGCAAACAATTATGGCGAGAACGAGACACAGAAGTACCAGAGGCGTAGCCAGGGCTGGGGCCCGGCCCCCCCTGGCAAAATGTTGGCCCCCCCTGGCAAAATTTTTGGGCCTCTGATAAAATGTATTGTACTGGTAAGGGTACCTGCAAGGTAGGGATTGCTGCGGGCATCAAGAGCAAATAGAACTAAAAATAGTACAAATTACATAAAGCATGCAGTTATTACTCGCAGCGAGCCGGCGACTTGTGAGCACTGTGGTCGGAGCTTAAGGAATACGGAATCGATTTATACTATTTATGCCATGAGTACATGTCCAAGAAAAAGCAATGCATTTGTTGCCAAGACCATGCACGGGTTCAAGAGCACTCACAGATTACAGATAGGTGTGTTAATATTTATGGAAGTAATATTCACTAAATCATAAGCAAGAATATATAATATTTTCAAGATGAAGTGGAATTTGTTGAATTTAATACGCGCTGCTCTAGTACGCGTATAAATACAAACGACAAAGCATTCTTAAAACGTATAGATGAATTATATAACACATGTTTTTGCTATCAGATTTCATATTATTAAGTCTAATACTGCTAGACGCATTTACCACATTGTATACACAGTATTAAACTAAGAAATCAAAACTTTATAATAAATTAAAATATACTGAGAACTTACAGTGGTCAAAGTCCATTGAGTGAACAACGCACAAAGTGCAGTCACGTTATTTTATACACTAATTCATGGCCTTTACAGGGCTTAAAACTTTACTAAACCTTACGCTGAGTGCCTGAGTCAAAATAATTTACAAGTCGAAGCAAGCAAAACAATTAACAATTATTCGCCAAAGGCGAGGTGATTATCGGGGAATATTCGCCGAGACAAAGTCGAGGTGAATTAGAATATTTCCCGATAATCACCGAGCCTGAGGCAAATAATTGTTTTAGTATTTTTGCACAAGCTTTTTTTGTGTTTTTCTTGTCTGAATTCATTTTAATGTCGCTTATTTCTTTATCACTAACTTCAACAAAATGACTAGCCGCCATTTTGAAAATTTCGATTTTGTTATATTTACCTGTAGGTGAATATAACAGATTAATACATCAAATTTGACCAATCACCTTGTAGGATTTGTTATGTTCACTTGTGCAAAAATACTAACAAACGATATCCTTCAAATACGCCTCAAATATTGTATGTCGTACTTTTTTTGCGTTCTGCGCATAGCAAGCGCACAAGACCACAATACAATGCGCTAAATAAAATTTACTTCAAAACCCCCTTGCTGCACATATTAGAATGCTGCTTCGCTCGCTCGCTTCAAGCTCGTTCGCTACGCAGCAATAAAAAAAAGAATCTTTGATTATATAGCTTCAAGTCCAGACCCATTGGAAAATTGTCAATGTTGTCGGAATCTTTGTGGTGAAGCATCGGAAAAAGTGATACGGCAATCGGGAAAAGTGCTACGAAAGCAATTGTGATGTCCGGAAAGTTTTTTTTTTACCAAAAAAAGGTGTCGACGGCAGACCTCTCAACTCTCACGCATTCGGCGCGAGTCTCACGCAATTCGCTTCACTCTCACGCTCTCACGCCACGTTCAGTAAATCTCACGCATAAAGCGATTTCATAGTATTTTTTATAGTATAATATTGTATTCTTAAATGCACATTATTATAATCACTATATACGGATCGCGAATCGAATATATAATCGCGTGTTATTGTTCCTGCATATACGGCCCGACATTTTGCCCGCAATTTGGATACAAAATAGTACGCATATGTAAATACGGCGGGAAAAAGGCAGAATCAGTCGGAGCATAATTCAATATGTAAATCATCAAAGGCAAATTAAAGCTCATTACTGTATCAGTCGCAGAAATACAGTTATTGAAACTAAAGTGCCTTGTCTTAAAGGACAACTTATGAAGCAATGTATCTTTCATTAAAAAACACCAACTCTCATAATGCACGAAATGCCATTTCAGACCCACAGACTTTTTATACAAAGGTGTCATCCACATCCTCAATCTCACTCTTAACGTCTCTGCAAAGTTGAGAGGTCTGCGACGGGGGGGAGGGGTCGCCTGGTTGGAGAGATTTAAAATGTGTGGTCCGAAAATTTTTTTGGCCCCACCTGGGTTTTTGCTGGCCCCCCCTGACCAAAAATCCTGGCTACGCCTCTGAGACGTACGGCAGTACAAAGTTATAAACGGCCAAGCGATGAATTGCTGCAAAAAGTAACAAATGTCTTACAAACACCAAAGAGTCCAATTGCAAGTGGAGAAGAAGTAGAATCCAATGAAGTTGTCACAAAAAAAGAAATGTGTAAATAAGGAGCAAATGAAAGACCTATTGTCTAAAGTGCAGGTGACGTTAACTCATGGGGATGCTACATTAACTTTGAATTTTGAGTAAAATGAACACAGTACTGAATTATGACTTGAACTACGGCATATTGAAGTTAGTTTATTTGGGTGGGAATTGGTGTATGTGCGTGTTAATGCTATAAATATAACGAAAATGCTGGTGTTCTTACTTTTATCTCTAAATAGAGTCACTAGTGACTCTATATACAGTAGAGTCACTAATGATTCAATAGAGTGGTAAATGAATTAGCCTTTCTCACGATGACGAATATCCGCCATTTTTGGGTGGCATCTAATTCTCGTTAACCAATGCAGACTTCGAGGGAAGGATAATTCAATATGATGATTTAATCTTTTTCATTGAGAAAAATCCAGCTCTTGCCTAATGTGTAGTCGGCAGGGAGACAAAGGGTGTGACCCTTGCCAACGGCGATTAGAACTAATCGTCCGCTACAGCGGGCGATTAGTAATCGCCCCTGTTGAAACAAAAGAAACCCGGGCAACTATGCAATTACCTCTCTAATATCATTAATTAACGCGACGAAACACACGCAAAATCACTGTTTCCTATTGGCTCTCACTATGACCTATATTCAAAACATGGCTAAACGCAAAATAGTAAGATTCTATTGGCTGTTGCATTACCTGTCTATGGCTGTCTTGCATGCTAAATATGTTGTCTTGAGTTATTCGTTTTGTAATTTGCATGGTCAAGAAATATAGGTTCTAACTACTATATGCAGATACTCAGATAGTCATTTTGACAGATTATATGCTCGCAACCCACTGTTAATCTGCCCAATGGAATTTGTCTGTAATCTTTACTATTACTACAAAGGACAATTTGTATAGATAGAAAACCTATACTCGAGCTGCGTGCCTGTCAAAATTGTACATTTCGCGAAGCATATTTCATTCAGCTGGACAAATTAATTTTCGGCCTTGTCTAACTCGCCACTCTTGGTCTTGGAGGCATGGCTCAAATTGCTTGTGTAGCACGCTTGCAGTCTGTACTGCAGAAGCTCACACATAATTAAAGGAAATAATATGAAAGGAAATATTGTGTATTAATGGGAGATTTCAACATTAATTTATTGAATTGCGAGTCTCATGGTGGTACTGATGAATTTCTTATCACAATGATTTCTTACTTTTTTCAACCACATATTTTGCAGCCCACTAGGATTACTGATCATTCTGCTACATTGATCGATAACATCTACATTAATTCCATTGATCATTCTACCACTAGTGGCAATATAATTTATGACATTTCCGACCACCTTCCTAATTTTCTTATCGTAAGTAAATTGAATTTTAAAATATTCAAAAATGATGTCTTTGTGAGAGATTATTCTCATTATAATGAAGAAGATCTTATTACAGAAACTGGTGCCATGAATTGGGAAACTGTTTATAATAGTGATGATGCAAATTTAGCATTTAATACTTTTTTTAATAAACTAAATATGATTATTGAGAAACATGTCCCTTTGAAAAAAATGTCTAAAAATAAGGTGAAACTGCTAACCAAACCATGGATTACAAAAGGCCTGAAGATTTCAATCAAGAATAAAAACAAGCTTTACAAGTCGTATCTTAAGTCTAAAAATGGATATTATCTATCTAAATTTAAATTGGTTAGGAATAAATTAAAACATTTATTGCTTATAAGCAAAAAGAATTATTACAATAATTATTTCTTAATAAAAAAAGACAATATCAAGGAAACATGGAAGGGAATTAAGCAACTAATAACACTAAAAAAAGTAAATTATTCCTTCCCAACATTAATAAAGGTGGGAAATGAAAGAATTACTGATGTTGCTGCTATTGCCAGTGAATTTAATGAATATATTAGTAACATAGGCACTAAGCTTGCTGAAAGTATACCAGTGGTTAATTTGTCCTACAAAAAAATCCTTAGAAGACCCCTTTGTAATAGTTTTAGGTTCTTTCCAGCTGACTGTAGTGAAATTGAAAATGAGATTGAGAAGTTGAAACCAGGTAAATCAACTAGGTAAAGACAATAAAAATGAATGTATCTGAGCCTTTAACCTATATTTATAATTGGTCATTTTCTTCAGGAATTGTTCCTAATAAACTTAAAATAGCGTTATTCCAATTTATAAGAAGGGGTCTAGAATAGATTTATCTAACTATCGTCCAATCTCCCTACTTTCCATATTTAGCAAATTGCTAGAAAAATTGATGTATACTAGGCTTATAAATTTTTTCGAAAAAAATGATGTTTTATTTCATGGACAGTTTGGATTTCGAGCAAATCATTCCACATCTCAAGCACTGATACTTATTACTGATAAAATTTAAAAAGCCATTGAAGAAAAGCTCTTCTCTTGTGGTGTAATCCTTGATCTCAGAAAAGCTTTTGATACCGTTGATCATAGCATTTTGATAAATAAATTGCAGCACTATGGAATTAAAGGTATCACAAATAAATGGTTCAATTCTTATCTTGATGATAGGAAACAGTTTGTTTCTGTTGGTACTATCAAATCTGACCTAAATGATATTGTGTGTGGGGTACCACAAGGATCAGTCTTGGGACCATTACTTTTTTTAGTTTATATTAATGATTTCAATAACTCATCTGATTTGCTCGACTTTCACCTCTTTGCCGATGATTCAAATCTATTTTATGCTCACAAAAATCTAAGATCTCTTAAAGAACATTTAAATCAACAACTAATAAACATTCACAACTGGTTATGTGTGAATAAGTTATCGTTACAGTCGATTTCAGGTCACTTTTCAAAGCGCGATTCCCAAGTTTGTTTTGAATATTCCTAATTACATTACCAAATTTGGAATATTGCGTGAGAACTTGCAAAGCCAAATTTGCATGTTGGTGAATTAAGTACTGAAGTACCCGACTAAAGTACGGAAGTACTGAACTAAAGTACTGAAGTGCTGAAATGAATGCGTTTAGTCGGCAAGGCAAAGCATTACCTATCAAAGTTAGAAACAACATAGTTGGGAAGTGGTTGAATAATGAGGGTATAGCAAACATATCGCGACAATTTAACCTACCGTACAAAACGGTTAGTAATATTGTAGATCTCTGGGTAGACAATGGAGACATTGAACCTCGCCAGCCACATCGTGAGGCAAGTAGGACCGCACATACGAATGACGTTAAAACGTACATCGAATACTTGAAAACTACTAAGCCATCAATATATGGAAAAGAAATACAACAAGAATTGCAAAGTAACAACTTGTGCCTACCAGAAAACGTGCCTAGCAGGTCTTCGATAAGTAGGGTTTTAGAAGCCGATGTTGGCTGGTCATACAAGCAAATAAGTCAAATAGCTCGTGAAACAGAAAGGCCGGATGTCATGGAAAAATTACATCGCAGACATTTCAGGAATAGATTGTAACCGATTACATTTCTTTGGTGAATCATCGGTAGTTGTAATGAGCGGAAACCGAAGCCCAATAGATTGTAACCGATTACATTTCTTTGGTGAATCATCGGTAGTTGTAACGAGCGGAAACCGAAGTCGTGGGCACAGTGGAATAGGCGCTCCAGCAATCGAAGTACAACGATATGCTTCGAATGCCACATATACTGTGAATCTGCTACATAACATCCATGGAGTATCTCATTTCAATATTCTAAGAGGCCCATCAAACGGTTTGGAATTGCTAAACTTCTTCGAAGAAGCTCTCGAGCAAGAAGATGTATTTGCAAACCCTGTTATAAAAGAACATGATGTTATAATAATGGATAACTGTGATTTTACAAGAGAGACATGTTCAGTTGTTTTGTCAACCACCTTACCCGGCATCCATGTTAGTGAAGCATGTTTCAATCACATAAAGACCACACTGCGTCGCTATTCAAGATACACTGAGAAATATACAGAGTTGTGCATTTCTGATGCAATAGGAATGATAAACGAGGGTCTGTCAAGACAGTTCTTCAAGTTTTGTGGCTACATATAACAATTTTTCGTGGCAGTATATATATATATATAACTAATCAGTATTAAAGATATATTGTAAATATTATGTAAAAATTATAAAGTAAGGCATGCCCAGTGTGTTTTTTTAGAGGTACTCTGTGTCAGCAAATTTATTGTAATTTATATTATATGCATGGGAGCAGAAAGGTAAGAAAAATGCATTTGCCGAACAGCCAAATACTGTATTATCATTACGACTACACATAATTCCATACAAAATTCCCATGTAACAAATCTTTGTTAACCTTAAATTTATAGATTGACCTTTGTTCAAAGTCAAACTTCTGAACCTGACCTTTTGTAGCAAAAAAACATTCTTTTAGCGCAAAAATTCTACGCATGGATAATTCTATTGAATGTTACGTTTTATTGCTTTCACCGTGAATAAAATTTCCATATAACAAAACTTTGTTTATCCCCTCAAATCGTCCATGTTCAACCCTCTCCACCAGAGAAAAAAGAGAATTTGTCGAGAACAACTTTTCCTAGCGTGGACTCAGGCTGTTTCGCTTTGAAATTCGCAATTTCTGCATGTTCGCATGTAAATTGACAGCGTTTTTTTAACCTTAATTTTTCATATACCATGCAATCAACGAACAAACCAAACTACATAAATGCACAACAACCTATTCATTACGATACCATCCAACAAAAACGAGGTACACTGTACCAGCAATGAATACCGCCAATATATCAATTACAACAATAAAATACATAATTTTTTTAAATAAATTCTGCAATCCGATGCGAGCCAATATAGTTCTTATATGTAAATCTGATGATACAACACAAATGCAAAACTTAACCAATACGAACTCAACTTGTAGTATTACATGTATAACCACAGTAGAAGTATGTACAGCTGCAACGTCAGCTATAATTATCTAATGCTTGTCTTGCATAAAATATGCTGCAGACCCTTACGAAAAAAGTCTATAGGTGGCCTATAGGTGCTTATAGGAAATGTTCCAATTCCCTATAGAAGCCTTTAGGCATCTATAGAGCTCTATAGGCTTATAGGCATCCCTATAGGTCACCTATAGAAAATGTTCCAATTGCCTATAAAAACCTATAGGTTTCCTATAGGAACCTATAGGTTGGCCTATAGGCCAGGCCTATAGACTTTTTTTGTAAGGGGAAGAAAGCAGACCTAAACCTGGAGAGCTTTCATTTTCTTTCAGTTTCTTCGTTGATAGTCGTTTGATCCAATTCTTTATCACCAGTAGCAGTGATTAATTCCAATGTTTGTTGTTTGAAACCAGCATATTGTAAACACTGGACTTTGGACTTTGAAATTATATTATTTTTAAGATTTTCGTATAATTTATATTAATTAAAATCTAAACAGAGAACGAAAATTTGTGCATGATAATAATATTCAAGGTAAAAAATACTATTAGTTATATAGGTATACCAGTGCAAGTTCATAGATATAGCCTGTGGGATAACAGGATCATCTCAGTAATATTTTTTATTTAATATTTAAATTTTATTATAATATTTGTATTTATAGTATGTATAGTACAGTTTATACTGCAGAACTTCTTCTTTATCGTATAGTAGGTATAGATAATAGATTTATAGAAACAATTGTGACAAAAGTATCTTGGCAAATACAAAATATTGAGAAACTATCACGTATAACTATAAACTACACGCGATTATTATTGCGCCTTTGGCTTTGAACAATTATTCGCCAAAGGCGAGGCCGTGATTATCGGGGAATTTGTCAAATTTGACCGATCAACTTGACAACTTGTAGGATTTATTATATATTTTTTCACTTGCGCAAAAATACTAATGACGGTATTGTTCATCTTTGCATAATAGTTTACACCGGTTTAGCGCCTGCCTAAATAGGCTGTGTTGCAATGTATTTTGTCTGTGTCATTTTAGCTTTTCATAAATGTATTCAGCCATAGTGAATACGAATTCTCATAGTCATCATACTTTATAAAATACGAATGTATGCATACATTATTACAGTAATTGGTAGTACTGATTACTTTATGATAATCTGTCTATATTATTGTCTATATTATTGTGTATATATATATATGGCTTTTTTGCGTACGTTATGCTGGGCATTAATCTTTATACTACGATTACGATTCCCACCTACACTTGCAAGTGGTAGTATTACAGTAAACGTGGCAAATAGTTGCTACCTGAAGCACATAGACATAGATTTTTGCCTTCAACTGAGTAGGTCTTAAAAAGTAACATTAACAAAACGTTACTGTGTAACGGAGTAAACAATTACACAATACAGTACTAGTATAAACTATTATGCAAAGATGAACAGTCAATAGAATGTATACAACACTCAATAGGCGCAATAATAATCACTTGTATAGTTAATATTTTGTATTTGCCAAGACACTTTTGTCACAATTGTTTATGACAATTAATCTATTATCTATGTGATAAAGAAGAAGTTCTGCAGTATAAACTGTACTATGCATATACTATAAATACAAATATTATATAAAATTTAAATATTAAATCCCAAAATATTGGATAATCCTGCTATCCTACATGCTATATCCGTATGAAATTGCATTGCTGGTATACCTATATAACTGATACTGAGTATTTTTTACCTTGTATATTATATCATGCACGTGCATGCAGTGTAGCACGCTTTTCAGCAGCAAATTTTTGTTCTCTGTTTAGATTTTAATATAATTAAACGGAAATCTAAAAAATATAATTTCAAAATCGAAGTCCAAAGTCCAAAGTCCAAAGTCCAAAGTCCATAGTCCAAAGTCCATAGTCCATAGTCCATAGTCCAGTCCAGTGTTTACAATATGCCGTTTGAAACTGCTGTATTCTAATGTACTGTGCGGTATTGACGACGATTGTGCCCCGAAGTAGTTGTATGCAGGCAACATATGCATAGCCATAGGAAATGTGCCCATTTGATGATTCTCATAGAAAGGCTGTTGGGAGTATACACTTTGTACTGGAAAATGGGTAAAACCCGTTATACTGTGCGACTGCTCATTGTACGGTAGTTTTCTTCTTGTAGAGGCTTTCTTAGGTTTTTCCGACTGTGGAGGCAATCACTGCTGGACGATCTACTACTGACACTTGAAGATGAACTCAGCTCGGAGTTACTTGAAGATCTGTCGTGGTAAACTGACTTGCCTTTATGTTTATGCTTTTTCTTCCCTTTATTAACTCGGACATGCTTTTGCCTTGTATTTTGTTCATTATTCATGATTTTTGTTTCGATGAAATCTGTGTTCATATTTTGTTTTTGTGTCAAGATTTTACCGTTGTTTTTGACAGGCGACAAGTTCATGTTCACATTGAATTTCGCTGCGTGTCCGCTTGATTGACTTTAATCTTTCCAGAATTTCACATAATCTTCGTTCGTGTGCTACGATGCCGAGTACTCCTACATCGCCAACTTCATCTTGTAACATACGTTTACACTTGGCAATTGTAATTCTAAGCTGTTCGGGATCATTTGTAGTTTCTTCGGAAATTTTACCACCAAAAAACTTACGCAATATTCTAATATCACGAAGAAGTTTTGGTCGGTTCGTTTTATATTCAGGATTAACTTTCATCATTCTTGGGGTAAAAGCTTTTATAAACTGGTGCTCACTCTGGCTTTGGAAATTATTAATGCCTTCTAATTCTTCTTCAAGTTGTTTAATAGCGTCGCTCTTTTTTTTATGGCGCACTTCATTCGATATTCCGGATGTTTATCCTTAATGCCACAGTACGTAAATGACGAGCATCTTTCCATGATACATGGTTTAGTTTGTTGATTTCTGTGTCCTCGGTGATGACAATTACCACAGACGACTTTATACCTTCCAATCTCAGGTAATTCCGGTACGTTTATGTTCATTGATTCCAAACGGACTTGCATCACCTGCAACTCTTGTCGATTTGCACGAATTTGCTCTTCGACATTTCTTTGACGATTTTGCAATGGCCGCTTTGCTGTCGTTGGATATTCCGTAGTCTTACTCTAGGTAACAGCAAATGCGATGTTAGTATAATATCAAACTGAAATGTTTTACATTATATAATTTTATTGCAGCATAAACCATATAACCATATTTATATATATTTGTACATACCACAGTGGAATTCTGCTTGGAGGTTTCAGTAGCAACGCCATGGGTAGTCTCATTGTCACTACATGCCTCGTCTGGTGAGGTTACGTTTTTATTGCAGCAATATTTAGAAGCCTTTCGATTCAACGAAGATTATTTTTTTATCAAGTCAAGATCATGGTAGTCCAATATTTTCCTTGCCCCAAGTGGCAACTCCGATCCTTTAAGTATTTCTTCAAGATTTTAGCTATCTAACAATTTTAACGCTAATGTAGACGTAAAATCATTTTCTGGAAGAATTGTGGCTACCTTTTGGTAACTTTGGGATCCTATTTTATCCCTAAAACTTAGAAGGAACTCTTCTAATTCGTCGCCCATTTATCTGCTTATGCAACTCGGTACTTTGGTATTTCAATTCAGTGACTTAGTTCAGTACTTCAGTACTTTAGTTCAGTACTTCCGTACTTTAGTCGGGTACTTCAGTACTTAATTCACCAACATGCAAATTTGGCTTTGAAAGTTCTCACGCAATATTCCAAATTTGGTAATGTAATTAGGAATATTCAAAACAAACTTGGGAATCGTGCTTTGAAAAGTGACCTGAAATCGACTGTAAATGTTGATAAATCACATTTTGTTATTTTTCATCCAGTTCAAAAGGTAGTTGATTATACTATTAATCTTAGCATTAACAACAAAGAGTTATTGATTCTAACCTCAACTGGAAAGAGCATTTAATAAACTTTGTAAAAAGATTTCCCGTGGTATTGGCATATTGTTAAAGCTTCGAAATTTTGTTAAGATTGATATATTAATTAAAATTTATTATTCTATTATTTATCCATTTCTAATTTATGGAATAATAATCTGGGGTAATACTTACAAGACTAATGTTAAACCTTTGACGGTATTACAAAAAAGGGCTATACGTATTATAACTTTCTCACCCTTCAGAACTCACAATTCTCCTCTTTTCAAAGAACTCAACTTATTGAAATTTCCTGACATTGTTCAATTTTGTACAGTCCTATTTATGCATCAGTACCATTGTGACACTCTTCCAATTGTTTTTACTGATTTTTTTAAGAACATAAGCATAATTATAATATGCGATTTTCATCCAAATCTACTTTTGCTTTGCCAAAAGTACGAACAAATTATGGCATTTTTAATATTAGATACTGTGGTCCAAAGGCATGGAACTCTGTTGATGAATCCTTAAAATTATTAAGTAATAAAGCATTTAAAAGACAATTTAAAATCTCTCTGATAAGTTTATATTAGCTAGTTACCTAACTCAGATTACTACAATGTAAAATAACAATTTTGTATTAATAAATATGTGTGGCTACCTGCTCGTCTTATTGACCAGATAGTTACGTAACATATAAAAAATTTCATTTAAAAAAAAGTACTGATATGGAGCAAACTCATGCTTAGATAAAGATCTGAGCTATATTTATCTTCTGTGGATGTAATGCTATCTTTTTTCGTAATTCTGTGTTGTACAAATGTATTAGTTTAGCAGATCACCTGTCTCGATTAGCCCCTTATGGTTATAATAGGTGATCTTGCACACTTGTCTTTTGTAAAACTTTCTTTTTTTAACGTTAAAAATACTATATTTTCCAACAGTATACAGCTATTTACTCGCTGGGGCACCTGTGCCGCAGACGAGTATAGGTTTTGGCATGCATTTGTCACGGATCACGGATAGCAACCTCGTTCCCATGCTCTTGGGAAGCAAAGACCCTGGCTGGGGCTGGTCACGTGGCACGCAGATTCTGTGTGCTAAAATAAAATGTGTTTATGGGTAGGGTGGTAGAGGAGTGTGTTTGTCATGTTTGGAAAATTGAATAAAATTTCAGAATGGTTCAGAATTATGGTATAGCCGTATTCATTCAAAAAAATCTTAAAATAGCATTACAATTTATCGCATCCTATCTTCGAACATTAAATTGAGTGTCAAATTACATTTCGAGCATGGAGTTCATATCAAATTTCAAAAGCACATTCATTCAATCGCGTCGATGGCTAACAAAGGCACGCCAAAAAAGCTGTACACGAAACGATCTGAATTGACGGTCAATATTTCACGTTGCAGACTTTGTAATTGTGTTTGTGACCCTCGGTACAGTAAGAATTTATTTGGGAAGCAGAATCAGACAGTTTTATGCAACGCAAAGTTTATTTACGGTGGCGAATTACCGCAAGATATCAACCTTCCTCACTTAATATGTGCGCCATGTGAGCGGAGGCTAAACAATGCCATCCAGTTGAAAAACACCATTTCAGAAACCCAGCGAGTGTTACAAGAAACTATTCGCACAAAACGTTGTGTCGAAATATCGCCGTCAGTGTCTAGACCGTCTGCCAAAGTCTGTGCGGCGGGGACTTCATGTCGACGCGGTATCGATTTCAACATTGCTAGTGGAAGTCAATCTGAGAGTGTTAATCCTATACCATTAGTGTTGCATGTAAGTATATTTTGATTCTGTGTTTAATTTTAGTAAATTCTTGATGTTTTATATTTCCTTGTGGAATATTTAGCGCCTTGATTTAGAGCTGTCTATATTTACTGTATATCATGAATGATTCATTCATGCATATGAGCATATCTAATGTCAACAATGGTTTCATTCATGATTTTGTGTATAAAAGCTTATAAAATGTTCTGAAGTGGTAGTTATAGTATTGAAAATGTGGACAGTTTATATTAATACCTATATATATCTTTCTATTGTCATTCAAAGAGTGGTCAAGTCTTAGTTGAGGCAAACAAGGAGCTCATTGAGGTTGCCAGAAGAAGTGAGCCATCTGTTCTCAAACAAAGAGACTTTGATGGTATGTCAGCTGAGGCTTGGATGTCAGAAGTGTTGGAAGAATTGGCAACCAGATGTCCCATGGTGAACAACATCCTTTCTAGTCTGGTAGAAAGTACGATTTATCCAGAGAAGAAAAGTCCAGCCATCTGTTTAATTTATGGCATCATAATGTTCCTGCGGTGCCATGAATTAAGCAGAATTCAACGAATCAACTCTGTTTTGCTGATAGAAGGCCATGCATCTGTACATGTAAGTCATTCTGAAATTTAAATCACAATACTTGTCAGTGTGGAAAGTTTGCATTGCGCGGCAAAGATATCCGCCACACAATATTGATGCTCTCTATATATTTACTATTAAACTTTTCAAAATATGTGGAGCAGAATTCCCAGTTGCCAGAAAGCCTATTCACAGTGCAATTGAATATGTTTACATCAATTGTTTGTTAGACCCTCAAATACTGGTATTTAAAACAACATAATTATTAATTATATTTTCTTAAAAATAATTTAACAAAAAGTAACATCATATGATTTTGATACTTTTATTTGCATAATGCCTGTAAAATCTGAATGTTTAACCCATTAAGCTGTATAGCTACTCATTGACGGGTAAAATCGTCTGACATTAGACAAGTAAAAAAAAATAAGTGAGGTGCATTGCGGCTCAATGGGTTAACTAGAGACATCAGTCAGATTTCTTGGTTAACCCATTAAGCTGCAGAGCTTCCCCATTGAAGAGTAAAATCATCTGGCATTAATTAAACAAGTAAAAAAAATAAGTAAGGCGCAATGGGGTGCATTGTTAAAAATATATTCGCAAACCAGCATAATTTATGTTGATCAATGTCTATGCAACACAGCATTATTACTACACAGGAATCAAACCTGTAGTGCAATAAATTTTACAATTGAAAAACTGATTTTTTTCAAAATTATTGATAAACCTGGTATTATTTGGTTACTGTATGCCATATTATTCTGTACTGATTTTAGTATTTAACTTTCACTACATTAAATTAAGTTAGTAATATTCCACAGTGTTATAACACAATTTATGACACACCAAATCCTGGTACAATTTGATAAACCGTTGATTACTGTGCTTAACTCTGCTCTGGTATTTAAAAAGAAATATGGTAAATTATGGGGAAGCCTTGCAGTGCCTCGGAAGGCCGTCTCCAATTGGATGGTGGGTTTCGGTGGAGCACAATAAATTTAACACACCTCCTTGCCAGAATTGAACTGTCCCTTGGTATTGTTACCATTTGCAATAATAGTTATTCTAATGATTTTTTAATTTGTTTAGACTGTATTCAAAAAACTTTATAAGAACTCAGGACGAGAAAAAGGAACCCTATGCTTTTTCAGAGAAAAGCTGAATAGAAGAAACATCACAGCTGATGTCAAACACTATGAGGACTGTGAGCAACTGTTCTTCAGTGTTGGTAAGTGTTTTGTTATCGAAGCACTGCTTGAATTTTTCCAGATTGATGATACAAAACACAAACCAACAGTGAACGGTCCTCATAGTGTTCATGTCTTGAAAGAGGACTACCGGAAAACCTACATGTTGGAAGCTATCGACAAATTCCTTGACGAGTATGTTTTTCTTGGTGGAGATGAGGAGGTGCCAGACGGTGTTTGGTGCTATGGAGCCAACCTCATTAAGTGTTTCATGGTGCTGGCTGACTTTAAGGATGCTGTTTCCACTAGCAATGGTGAGAACTTATTGATCCTCAGGAAACAGCTGTTAGCCCATTTTTTTCCAACACCCGGATTCAATGAGTTTGCCATTGAAATGTTTATAAACATCCTCCAGTGTGAAGTGTTGCTGTCCAAAGCAGAGGCCCATCATTGCAAATGGGCTGCTACTGTGAACTGGAAAGGTGGTTCCAGTAAAAACATTGAAATTGACTTTTTCAAGAGAACAGGAACTGTGAAATGAAGAAACTAATTAAGTCAATGGGCGCCAACAAGACGGAGAATGCGATAACAAGGGCAAGCAAGGCTTCAGGAGGAGTTACGAAGATTGTCGAAGCACATGAGCAGCAAGTTAACATTCATCCAAAATCTTCAACTCATTCACATAAGTCATCAACTAATGACGAAACAATTATCAGCATGGACTTGCGAGGTTTAAGACCTTTCGAGGAAGAAGGCAGATCTTTTGAATCATTTGCAGAGGTTTCCCATGACCCAACCTCATCGTTCGACCAAGGAAAGTTTGCAGAATGGATTGAACGACACAAGAAGAACATCCTGATGCACTATACTGTTGCTGATGACCAAGAGGAATCTTGTGAGTAATTGTACACTTAGTGTACTAACAATTTCTGACAGGACCAAATGTATGTACTTTTGTTGCTAAAGGGAAAATAATAGAGCAACAAAATGGCAGCAACTTGCAACAATATCTGATTTCTGCACATGTCAATAAAAAAGGTTGGCTAATGTTGTCCCAGGTGTTGTATTTACAGTATGTGTAAACATTTCCAACTAACATGTGTTGAAATCAGATTTTGTTGTAAGTTGCTGCAATTTGTTGCTCATATTACTCCACATGACCTTAAAGTATATAAATATTTTGTTTTACCTAGTACTGCCCTAGCCTGTGTTCCAGTCCACTATGTGTTTGCTATTGGACTGGAAAACAGGCTAGTAAAACCATGCCAATTGCTGAAATAGAGTATACAGTTTGGACCATTTGGTTCAAAATTTAGAATTAGCCTTTTGCAGTCACTCTGTTTGTCCATAGTTTTTCATATTGCTTTTGGAAGAAGAAAGGCAGTGCCTAAAAATGACGGATGTGGAGATTTGAGAAATTTCTCTTGGGAGAAATGCTACTGCATTGTTTCAAAAGATGCCTATTTGGCAATCTAACGTTAGTACTTTCTAACTGCTAACAGTATAGTTTATATATTAATTGTTTGGACATGCACATACTGATGTACATGTAAGCCAATGTTTGGCTATTTGTCAATTTATATTACTGTACAAGAAATGATTCCAACAAAATGATCAATGTAAAATGTATTTATTGAGCAAAATATTGCTCATTTGAAATTTTCTGACTATTACTATGATAGGATAAGAATAGAATGTACTGTACATACAGTACATTTTCATCAAGTTTTCATGTTGCCACATTAAAGTTATTTTAACTCCTGATAGATCTTTGGCTACAGTAAAATTAAATAACACTGATATTGTTTTCCACCAAATTGTAATAAGTCTGTTTAATTTTTTTATTGTCTAATTTTCCTTATTAGAATAGTTTTAACGAAACTAGTATTTTTATGAGAATATTGTCTAACATTAAAGGTGATCTACAGTCCGATCTGCGCATGTGCACAAAGGAGCCCACTTTTTATGATACAAACAGTTTAACTATGTTTTGGGTTCTTGAAAAGCCTGATTATTGTTTCTTGATCATTTATTATACTCTAGAAGCTTGAAAATATAAATAGTTAAGGGTGTAATACTCTACTTAAGGGTGTTTCAGAAACACAATCCTGGATATTCAGCACACCACCACAGTCATAACTTTAATATTAATTATTACTGCCTTTAAAACAGAAAAAATACAACATATGGGACATAAGGGTCATGCCCAACACCTTAACTGCAAACAGGTACTCTGGAAACGAAATTGAGTTTGTGATTGAAAATAACCACTAAACTTGGAGGGTTTTTAAAAAAATATTTAAAGTATTTGGAGGTTAGTGGCTTTTCTCGTGTCGGGAGAGGACGCTACACAAGTAATTTTTTATGTGGCCTAAGGGGTCCATAATTAATATTTTCACAAGCACACACAGTAGATAATATTTTCAACTTCTTTGCAAACATTGCTTTGCAGATAGTTATCTAGCCCAGCAAATGAAAATTTGCTAATAATTTTTACATGATCATTGACCATGTATCATTGATCATGTAAAACTTATTAGCAAATATTTTTATTGATATTGTGTAGACATATTATAGGATCCCTGATGAGTGACGTTATGCTCTAAAAAAAAAATGGACCAGAATTGTCAAATAATTTGTGTGGACACAATTTAACTGTAATAGACCTTTATAAAAAAAGTCTGCCTTGTGACATACAGTATTTGTGGATAAATATGATCATTTGGCCGATCGGGCAAGCCAGCCAACAAGGTAGAAGGCAGACTTTTTAAAAAGGTCTATTAATTAAAGCAGTAGGTCTATTAATTAAAGCTGTAGTACCTAAAGTTTTTCCATGAGAAGCTGTAAGCACATGGGACAATCACAGTCTTTCTCACAGACACCACAACAAAGGTGTAATGGCTTAAAAACAATATCCTGTTTGTAATCTAATGACTTCAATAATAATTTCCTGAGACACGTATTGTTACTCGCACAATAGGCCCGCATGTCATCCTGCATTCCAACTCTGTTCTTGGCTATATCTCTGTTGTTGTAATATAACAACGCAGTTGAGGGCTTGCCATCTCTGCCAGCACGTCCAGTCTCTTGGAAGTATGCCTTCACTGAACTTGGCGGTCCAATATGTATAATTTGGCGGATGTCTCGAATGTCAACACCCATCCCTATAGCCACTGTCGCAAAAACAACACGAACAATACCTTCCTTGGAACACAGTTGTTTCAGGATTTCTTCCTTCATCTGTCTGGTCTGTGGAGCATGGAACTGTGCAAACAACCTGTTGGATGGGATTGAATCAGAACCAAGAGGAAAGTACTGCTCATCACCAAGAATATGCTCGAATAGTTTATATGCAAATCCACATATTGTCAAAGAAGTGTAAATAATAGTTAGTGGATAGTCAACCTTTTCCTGTAAGAGGGACCTGGCAATTGGTACCAAAATTGATTGAATCGCATCCACATCTTGTCCAGTTCTAAAAATCTTTTGGTAGAAAATATTCTTTCTATCAGGATTGGCAACGATGCACTTGCAATTTTTCAAGCCCAGTCCTGTATACATTTAATATCAGTTCCACTTGCAGTTGCTGTCATTGCCAGAACAGGCACGTCTGGAAACATTGCACATATGACCCCCAATTTAGCATAATCTGTTCTAAAATCAAGTCCCCTGCAATTAAATAAAAACACAGTTTTAACCATTTATTCTATTGAAGGTTTTGATGATTTTCGAATAAATTACAGTTTATTATTTCTCTTCACTCGTTTTTTTCTCGACCATTTTTTTCTTCGCCCATTTTTTCTAATCTACCATTTATTCAAAAATCCTCAATACTTTCAATAAAATAAAGCACCTGCTACGCAGGCTACCCATTAAGCACCAGCACCCTCCCCTAGCCTTGACAAGTAAATCATTTGGCATTTTTAGATAGAGTAAAATAATCTGGCATTATACAGAGTAAAATAATAAAGTAGGGATCAGCCTACCACATCCAACCAGCTCCAAGCTGATTGGCTGGGCGAATTGAAACCATCACAAATATTGAACTTTGTCATGAGAATAGACAATTTTTTATTGACGACCATTCATCCTTAATAGTTGCAAGTGATGGTAATAGGCAATTCCAGCTTTTAATTTATGTGTGCAGGGGGGACGGGAAGTAAGGTATCATATTGCTGATTATGATGAAAAATTTAATAAAAATTGCCGAAACAACCAAAATATTTCAATATTTACAAGTATAAGCTATCATTACGTGTTTACACAGCCACCATTGTTATTTTTTCAGCATTATCGCCTTTCTCAGCAATATGATACCATATACCACGATTTGCCATATACTGTATTAGTATATTAATATATTTTAAAATAAAAATGTTGATACTAACCAGTCCAGTATACAATGTGCTTCATCTATAACAATTCCAACAACATTTTCCTGGTACTGCTGGCTGAGCAACAACTCCCGTCCATATTTGCTCGAGATGAGAGTTTCAGGAGGCGCAAAAACAATGTGATAACGACCATCACGTAGCTTTCTCTTTTCGCACAAGCGGAAATCAATGTCAACATTAAAACAATTGTCGTCGTCCATATTCTCGTCAGAACTATCCTTATCTTCTCTTTTCAATTCCTTCACATCGATAATTGATGCTTGGATGCCGGTCAACTCACTTAAACGATATATTTGGTCACTCATCAACGAATTTAACGGTGATACCACAATTATGATGGAGTTAACCCCTGCCGTAGAAATATCTTTCGAACTTCTCCAAGCTCGTCTCCAAATTTGAAACACATCGTCGCACAAATTGTATTTCGCGAACAACAACATTGGCAGAAGATGAAAAATTAAAGACTTGCCATAGCCCGTTGGCAAAACACACACCACATCATTTTTTAAATAGACACTTTCTAGGCAAAGAACTTGCTTCGGTTTTAGAATCTTATCTTCGTACAAACTATTTAAAACCGCAAACTCTAGACATGACAAAAAAGCAAAGTAGTCCAACATGCCGAAAGGGAGGAAAATGGCATACCATGTGGAAGCATGTAATTTGATACTTTGCCTACTCCCCCTTAGGCGATCAAATTTCTGCGTACCACGTGACCAGCCCCAGCCAGGGTCTTTGCTTCCCAAGAGCAAAGAGCCTGGGAACGAGGTTGCATGGATAGTGGATCTCCAATCGTCGATAGCCACAAAATAGAATATTAATGAGCTGCTTGATCCTTTTCAAAATGGCGGGGCCTTTCGTGGAGTGGGAAAAATGTTTCAAACAATTTCGGGCCCCATTTCGTGAAAATATTGAACAAATTGTACCTGTTTTCTATGGATTTTGCGTTGTGTATAACTCTGGACATTCTTGCTAGTTTATTTAATGCGTTTTTCTTGGTGCACGACTCTGAAAATCCGAAATTTGGATCGTTGAATTCCCGTGCACGATCATAATATACTGAATCTGAATATAAACAAGCCAAAGACAATTTCAAGGTAAAAGATTATAACGTAAACTGCACAACGTAGTTTTAATAAATAACGACTTTATGAGAAGCATATTGGTGTCATATCAATAGAAAATTTATCGAACAACAGTCCGTGAAAACTGTAGTGTACTCAGTGTGAAATATGATATTGTATTTGTAATGCATATTAATGGCGCAATAAGGATAAAAATACCACCGTTCGATTCAGCGTAAGAAATTGTACTTACAGATGTCAAATGTATTACTAAACACCAGTATTACTAAACACCATAGCCTTTGAAAATCAAGCCGGAAATTGTATTGTTAGATATTCAGACAGTACATCATATTTTAAAAATACAGCAGTTCAAAATGTAAACAAACCGTTTGTTTACATTACGGACTTGACTTCCACTTTAATATACGCACGTAAAACTTTAAGTAATATTTCAAATCCGAGTTAGTGTTTTAGACGTGGTTTCTAAATACAAGTGCCATGAACAATGGCGAGGTGCAGCCGACCCATTGTTCACGGCACTGGGGATTTGGAAGCCAAGTTTAAAACACTAACAAGGATTTGATACAGGGATTTGATACAGAGGATTTGAAGTTGATTTAATACAACTTACTGTATTTAGAAATAATTCTAAACATAGCAATTAAATATATTTGCATAATCTTTTGTTTACGCCTCAATTTCCCTATTGTTCAAAGCCCTTCCCACTTGAAGTAATTAACGTCCTGGTCTAGACGGGGTATCCAGATAGATACACGTGATGTAAATTAAACCATGTCATTGGCCGAAATGCTATGAATATCTAATGATGTATGAGAAATCTGTTTAAATGTTACTTATAAAATAACCAAATAAATAAAGCAACAGAATTTACTGCTCCGCAAGTTTTAGTATGAATTTGTTAAAGCCTGGTTCACATATGCCTGCGGTATGCCTGCGACTGTATCATTATGCCTCTAACTTGCCGCCGAAATACCGACAAAGTTGAACTCAAGTCAACTTTCCCGGCCTACCGCAGATGTAACTGAGGCACTGGCGGCAATCGGCGAACAAATGTTCACAAATTAATTGGCTATCTTTAAAACAGGGAATGGAGAATCGGGGAATCCGGGAATAGGGGAATACGGGAATCGGGAAATCGGGGAATCCGGGAATCCAGAACTGATAAGACGGGGATATTAGTGTGCTTGTTGGAAAACGCATTTGCTACTTTGTTTAGAATAATACAGACGATGAACATACAGTATACACTGCGGATCAGTTGACTTACTATATAGCTTATGTTATATTATATATGTATAACAGCGCTGTGCACATATGTGATTTTAATAACATATAATTTTATTAATTTCAATTAGACATTAGCGTCTATAGAATGTTGTTCCAACGCACAAGTTTTTTGGATTAATAGATTGCAAAATACATGCATCATACAGGAAACGGGATAACACTAAAAGCCCACGCTTTATATGTTAAATACTAGGGTACCTGCAAGGTAGGGATTGCTGCTGGCATTAAAAGCAAATAGAACTACAGTAAACAGCACAGATTATATCAAGCACAGTGATTACTCGCAGCGACTAGTGAGCTGTGAATGGAACTGAGAAGGGGTTAAAGGGCAATCAGGGGTGACAGATATTAAACATGTGCGTCTCATTGACAGACAGGTAAAATAAGATCAGATTTCATATCATAAGTCTGTTTACTGCTAGGCGCATTTACCACATTATATATATATATATTTTTTATATAGACTATATACGCAGATTTCTCACACTAAGAAACCAAAACTTTATAAAAATATAGAACTGACAGTGGCCAAAGTCCAAAACAAATGTAAGCGTAACAGTAGACTTGAAAAAGCTTCAGAAATTCGATAAAAATCAACTGGACTCGAGCGAGTTTAAAATGTGTGTTCTGCGCATAGAAAGCGCGCACGACCACAATTCCATGCGCCAAATAAAATTTAGTTCAAAACCCCCTCTCTGCAACACCGCGGTAAAACGTCTGCGCATGCACCAAATTATGAAAATATGGCGGGGAATTTAAATATCAATTTCTAAAACAAAAACATGCTTATTAATTGGTCAAAAATTAGTAAAACAAGCGAGAAAATATAGCAAATGGGTAGACTAGACATTAATTGAAAGCGTCCTGGCATTTAAAGTATGGAATGAAATATAATTCATGTAAAAAATTGTTGATTTTAACGGACACGACTTCGAAAAATTTTGCAAAATTATTCAAAACAAAAATTCAATTAAACTAAAAAGTTAAGAAAACTCTCGAAAAGTTAAGCTTCTTAAACCACTTAAATTGTAGAATAAATCCTAAAGTTTAATTATTGTGAACACGAAAATTTTTTATATTTGGCGACACAGTTTTTTTTAAAGAAATGTATCTCAAAAGAAAATTCGGAAATTGTCGTTGCTTAGTTGATAAACAAAATGTTTCAGACGATAAATTTGTCAACAATCACCTTTAGTTCATGTTCTTGTACGATACAATTTTTTGAACCTTCTGGCTGTATTTATTCCTAGTTTTTAGAATGACATGTTTATTTTTGCGCTCGAAATCTGGCTGTAAAGACGCACAATGAAGTCACTCCTTTTTACCGCCATTTTGAGCCTTCGGAAACGTTCGGAACAGCTTCTCATCAAGTTCGCAATACTATTACAGGTAAGGTTGACGCATGCGCAGACGTTTTTCCGCGGTGTTCCTCTCTGCATATATTAGGTTGCTGCTACCCTTGCTCGCTTCAGGCTCGCTCGCTCCGCAACAATAACGCCTAAAGTCTAAACTGTAGCCTGCGTAGCAGGCGGTTTTAAAATGCTCGGCTGAATGCTGAAGACGGAATCTGGTTCCGTTAAATGATATTGAATCCAAGTTGTGGTATTTTAAAAACAATATTTATTCATGTCATATGTTTCAATAAAGAATGTTTATAATATTCATGCGCCATGAGGCAGAGGAGAGACTACACTAGGAGGAGTTATATAGGCCTATACTGAAAAACTAGACAATATTTATATTTATTTACAAGAAAAACTTCATAATCACTGTATGACACATATATTGGGCGGTAATTAGAATGTTGTTGTCATATGCTATCAACAACAACAACGGCAAACTTAGGTCCGCTGTGGCGGACATGCATCTACTGAACAGTAGCACCGGGAAATAAAAGGCATTGAGCAGATAAAAACATAGATGTGCCTTTGGAATCGATTTCTGGCATTTCCAGAGAGTCACAGCACAAACGTCGCATTGTCGACGTTTTAAAATTGTATTTCCGTTTGAGATTAACTCACAGTCGGGCCAGAAATGGAAATTTTTATATACCTTGGTAAAACTAAAAGGTGCAAATTTGAAGATACAATCTCGAAAATATAAACACACTCCACACAAGTGTTATTGATAATGATTCGAACAAGAATATTGCAATGAAGATACGTCCAAAGCTAAGGGGCCGAAGTTACGTTCGGCGAAAGGTATGGCTATGGAAAGCCATATAGTCTAGGACCTGTATATGAGTTTGTATGCGATTCATTTAGGACAGGTAATCTCAACTGTTTTAGGGTAAAATGACCATGGCGGTCAACATGGCATATGTGCGAAAACCTGAATCCGGGACGAAAGTCCTGAAAATGACCCGCCCTGAAACGGCAGTGTCGACATAGCTCTAACTTCCAAAAAGGAAAAGCGATAGCCTTTCTGAAGTGCTTATAGTGTTTAGAAGGGTTGCTTTTAGGGGTGGTCATTGGAAGGAAAAATTTGTCGAAGTATAATATTTTACCAGAAAATGACTATATGCACCACCCCAGGTAAATTGCTGATTATGCACAAAATAACTAATATGCCTGGCAGAAATTAAATATTCTTATTTCCTAAAAAAAATTATCATGGGGTGAAAAACTATGCTTAATTTAATATAAATATTGTTGATTTCATAAGGATTGTCATTGTTTTCTTTAAATATAATACATTTTATTTCACTTACCCCCCACAAAAACACGATTTCAGCCATATTTTGCCGCCTTGTGTGCTTTTTATCGCCGAATCTCGCAAATATCATCCAGTTATTGTACTTTTACATAATCGTAAATGGCTGAAGAAGATTTCAAAGAAGGTTTCATCCACTTTTGTAACAGTGCAGTGTATTTTACCTTCGATATTGTGTCCTTCGATATTCCGCCAAATTGCCGCCATTTTAATGGCTCGCCGCTTCTCTGTCTGATAAATGCAACTTCTTCGTTTCCATATGTATTTAGATTACAGTATCCAAGAGTACTTCATTGTAGAATAGTCCCAATCCAAAAATTGGCAATATTTGTCTCATCAGGAAGGAAAAATCCTCCCGTATACCATTTAGGTTCAAAATAAAAAACAAATCATTTGAAAGTCACGCGCAATAATCTTCGGTAAAACTTCTCGTGGACACATGACAGGGGGGGGTTGAATATTTTCACGAATATGTTCGCCACAACAGAAACATAACTAAATATATTGTATTTATTGTATTTTTATGATTTATGACAAAACTACGCAAATATTTATTGTTTTTATTATAAATCATAAAA